GCCCCTCCTGTCGGTTGGGCTCCAGCTCCTTCCTCACCAGTGCCTGGGGGGGCCAGCTACTGTCTCACCAGCTGGCTCAGCAGCTCCCCTTGCCTGCAGAAATAGCCCCTAACCCTAAGGAAACCAGGGCGCTGCAAGGGAAGCATCTAGTCTGGCCCCCCGGGATTAGCTGTGCTGAGAGCATTGCTGAGCCCAACATGTGGGGTAGGGGTCGGGGACGGACCACAGCACCCGGCACCGGCCACCCGGCACCAGGACCCAGCTGCAGCTGGGTGCCAGCCTCTCTCGTGCCTGGGGAGGTGCAGGGCCAGTCCTAACACTGACTTCTCCATGCCAGACCGGTTCCCCCAGATCATCCAACTGGCCTCAGAGCTGGAGTTCAACCTGGGCTCAGAGCCCATCGTCAGCTGTGTGGCCACTGGCAACCCGCTGCCCCCCTGCCACCCCGCTGCCTGCCAGCGACAGCAGGGAGCTGCGCAAGGCCGACGGCACCGTGCTCAAGGTACTGCTGCTCGCCTGGCCCCATGCCCCATGCCCTTGTCTCACCACCATCCCTGCACATCAGCCCCTACCCGCATTTCCGGCTCCCCCAAAAGCACCCGTCTCCCCACCAGTTTGCTGTGCAGCTCCAGGCCAGCACGGGGAGCTGGGGGGGCTAAGCCAGAGGGCTGACGGTTCCCTGTGTGCTTGCAGCTCATCAAAGCCATCATCGAGCCGGGGCAGATCACCTGCGAGTTTCAGGTGCAGCACCTGACAAAGGAAGACACAGGGCTCTGGGAGTGCCGGGTCTCCACGACTGGGGGCCAGGACAGCCGGAAAGTCAAGGTCAACATCCGAGGTAAGGAAAGGGCAGTGGCATGAGTGGGACAAGCACGGGCTGCTGGGGGATGCTGATGGCATGGTGTGGCAATGCCCGGCCCCCCCCCCCCCACACCGGACGGGGGGGCACGCGCGACTGGGTGGCACCTGTCATGTGCTGCAGGAGACAGGTTTGGATGTTGATAAAAGGCTTCCCTGACAAAGCTGGAAGAAGCCAAGAGGTGGTGGATGTTCCCACCCTCTGCTCCTCATTGCTCCCGGTCCCACTACTGTCGTTCCCTCCATCCCCAGAGCCACCAGCACCCCTGAGCCCCCCACGGCTGCTGGCCAAGCAGAGCCGCCAGCTCGTGGTGTCGCCCGTGGACTGCTTCTCCGGCGATGGACCCATTGTATCCACCAAGCTGCTCTACAAGCCCAAGGATGACACCTCAGCATGGTCATCCATTGTGGGTACGTGTTTGCTGGGGGAGGGGGTACACAGGTAGGACCTAGGCAGGAGGGGACAGCTGCCCCAGCCAGTGGGGGTCTGGGGTGGGCAGAGGTCTCCATCCTGGGACCCCTGCAGTGATGCTGGGGAGGACGCCAGTGGCGGGGCAGAGTGTGGGTCAGGAGCACGGCTTTGACATGTCCTCTTGGCCAACAGTCGACAACAGCGAGAACATCACCCTCATGAACCTCCGTCCGGTGACTGCCTACGTCGTCAAGGTGCAGCTGAGCCGGCCAGGGGACGGTGGGGAGGGTAGCAAGGGGCCTGAGGCCATCATGGTGACTGAGTGCCTTGGTGAGCCCCCCATCTCCCTCACCCTCACCCTCACCCTAACACTGACCTTACCCCTAAACTTGTGCATGAGGTTTTGCTGCCTTTTTGTTTGCAGAGCCCACAGTCAAGCCTGTGATCGAAGGCTGGTCCATAGAGGAGAAAAACACACTTCATGTCAACTGGAAATTGCCAAGTAACCATGAGCCGGCACATGGGTTCATCGTCCACCTCTTCGACTCCGCGAGGCGGCTGGTCTGTGAGAAAAACATCACATCCATCTCCGTGCTCTCCGCCCGCATCGGGGACCTGGAGTTCAACAAGGAGTACGGGCTAGAGGTGCTGGTCTACCACTGTGCGAGCCTGGGGCCCCCTTCTGACCTCTACAAGGTCATGATCAACAGCAAAGGTGGGTCTGGCAGATCACAGGGAATTATTACAGGGAACTACAATGATAAATCAGTTATAAATGTAGCAATGACCATCCTCAGGTCCAACTGCTGGAGGAAAATGGCTCCTCCTTTCCCTGCTAGACCCTGCAGCCTCCAACACCAAGCAGCTGAGAAAGATCCTAAGCTGAACATGACATTCAGGTCATCATGAGTGATGCTCGCAAACAGATCTGTTCTCCGTGCCCTTCCCCAAACCCTGATGGACCAGTCTATACTTGAAGCCTTTACAACACCCTGTAGCATCAAGTTCCTCGATATAATTACATGCTGCATGAAAAATTATTTCCCTTTGGTTCACTTTAATCCTGCAGCCTGGTAATTTTGCTGGATGGTCACTAGGGCTTGAGGAGATCTGCAGCCCCTTCTGGGGACACATGTACACACATGTGGGTGGGAGACCATGGGGAAGTACAGCATCAGCCTGACCAAACTTTCTGGCAGGCAAGGGGGAAGCAGTGCATGAGGCCTTCAGTGAGGCTCACTGCCAGCCAGTACACGTTGGGAGGGCTGGTGGGCATCAGGCCTGACGAATATGGGGTTTTCTTCACTCAGTAATTTTAAGAGCTTTGTGTGATTTGGGGTCAGGGATGTGGGCAGGCTGGAGAAGGCTCAGAGGAGGCAGTGGGAATGATAAGATGCTCAAAGCCTGCCATGTGTGAGGAAGGGTTGAAGAAAGAAAATATCCCAAGAGTTAGTCACTACTGAGACATCTAGCTTGACAGTCCCTGAGGTTGGGAGTGTTTGTGGGTGCAGTCCTGTGCTGCTGCTGGAGAGCAGCTCTACCTCCTCCTGCCTCTGCCCGTGCAGAGGCCAGGGATCCCTGGAGGTCCCTCAAATCTGGCACAGCTTTGGTTGCCATTGCTGTCCACAGGGTCTGGTCCTCACACCAGGCTCAGCTCCTGCAGCACTGGGAGTCCCATCCTGGGGCTGATGCTCTCCTCTCCTTGTTCCAGGGCCCTCCTCCCCACGGTCGCTCTTGGCAGAGTCTGTGTCGGACACCGCGGTCAGGCTCTCCTGGCAGGTCCCTGAGTACCCTAACGGGGGCATCACCAAGTACATCGTGGAGCTGCAGCAGGTGGGAGGCACCAGCGAGCCCCAGTGGATCGACACCGACAGCGGCGCCGAGACCACCAAGATCGTTGGGGGCCTCAATGCCAGCACCAGCTACCAGTTTCGTGTCCGGGCCAACTCTCACGTCCCGGGGGAGTGGAGCCAGCCTGTGAAAGCCAAGACTCTGGGGGATGGTGAGTAGGGCGTCCCAGCAGGCAGGAGGCTCGTGGCTTGGTCTCAGCATCTGGGTTGGCAAAGAGTGACCAGGGTGCTCATGGTAACCTCAGAGAACAGCTCTGAAGCAGCACCCCAAAACACTTGTGAGCATCTTCAGAAAACCTGCTCCTCCTAGACCTGATGGGGCAAGGGTGGCATGGCACCTGCAGAGTGACTCTGCCTTGGCCAGAGGGTGTGCAAGGGGCTAAAGGAGCAGGGCACAGCCAGCATGGGAGGAGCTGGTGGCTGTACCCAGAGCTGGTTGGAGGGTCCAGAAACTGGCGGGTTCAGTGGCAGGGCCTGGGCAGTAACACCCTCATGCCTGTGCTACCATGGCCCCGGGAGCCTGGGATGCAGCTGTGGTGTCTTCATGGGATAACGGGGTGCCGGGAGAGGGCTGCAGTCTTGGTGTTTGGCCACCTGTGCAGCCTGGTCAGGGCTCAGCCGTGGACCACGACCCTCCATCCCTCCTTTCATCAGGAGCACTGAGCGTGCCGCCCAGCCTGGGCAGCCAGAGCACCGAGCAGGCGGGAATAGACCAACAGCTGCTCCTGGCCATCGTTGGCTCCGTGTCCGTCACCTGCCTCACCATCCTCTTTGCCCTTCTGGCACTTTTCCTCATCAAGAAGAATTTTTTCCACCGGCGCCGCACCTTTACATACCAGTCTGGCTCGGTGAGTGCTGCCTGCCCCTCCAGGACCGTGTCCCCAGCTCCCCACGTCCAGGCCACGCTCCGTAGCCTCCAGTCCGGACACAGCCAGACCTCACTTCCACATGGAGAGGGTGCGGAGCCCACCCTTGCCCATGACACCTGCCCTGCCGGGACTGCCGTGCAGGCAGAGGGGTGCCCGGTGCCTCTAACCTTACCTGCTCCCATCTGCCAGGGGGAAGAGACCATCCTGCAGTTCAACTCGGGGACCCTGACCCTGAGCTCCGTAGCCTCCAGTCCGGACACAGCCAGACCTCACTTCCACATGGAGAGGGTGCGGAGCCCACCCTTGCCCATGACACCTGCCCTGCCGGGACTGCCGTGCAGGCAGAGGGGTGCCCGGTGCCTCTAACCTTACCTGCTCCCATCTGCCAGGGGGAAGAGACCATCCTGCAGTTCAACTCGGGGACCCTGACCCTGACGCGCCGCCCCAAGCCACAGCCTGAGCCCCTCAGCTACCCCATCCTGGAGTGGGAAGACATCAAGTTTGAGGACATGATTGGGGAGGGCAACTTCGGGCAGGTCATCAGGGCCATGATCAAAAAGGATGGCCTGAAAATGAACGCGGCCATCAAGATGCTAAAAGGTGAGTGGTGCAGCGAGGTGGGCAGGGTGGGTTGGGGGTTGCAGCTGCATCCTGGGCCATGCTCAGGGCTGAGAAGGAGCAGGAGCCATCAGTGGAGGAGCAGAGGAAGGACCCTTGTTGTAGGACTTAGGTGTCCATCCCTGATTTGCTTCCAGAATTTGCTTCGGAGAATGACCATCGGGACTTTGCCGGGGAGCTGGAGGTGCTGTGCAAACTGGGCCATCACCCCAACATCATCAACTTGCTCGGAGCCTGCGAGAATAAGGGTGAGAGCTGTCCCCTTTCCTGTCCCCAGTCCCACGGCCCCTGCCTGGCTGTGGATCCTTTTTGTTGGTGAGAGCCCCATGAGCCAAACCTCCTCCTGCCCCCCAGGCTACCTGTACATCGCCATTGAGTATGCTCCCTATGGAAACCTCCTTGACTTCCTCCGCAAAAGTCGAGTCCTGGAGACAGACCCAGCCTTTGCAAAGGAGCACGGTACTGCCTCCACGCTCACCTCCCAGCAGCTGCTCCAGTTTGCTTCAGATGTGGCCAAGGGGATGCAGTACCTGAGTGAGAAGCAGGTACATCCCCAGCAAGCACCCCCAGAGGATCCATTCCCCAGGGGCCTGGGGACTTGAGCAGGGCACAAGACCCCTGGGGCCAGCAGGACGTAGCATGCGGCTCCTGCTGACTGCTGGCCACTTTCAGTTCATTCACAGGGACCTGGCAGCGAGGAATATCCTGGTGGGAGAAAACCTGGCCTCCAAGATTGCTGACTTTGGCCTCTCCAGAGGGGAGGAGGTTTACGTGAAGAAGACAATGGTGAGGCAGAAGAGAAGCATCTCCATAGGGCCTGCACTGATGTGGTGGGCAGGACCCCTGCCACCAGCGAGAACCACACACCCTGCCAGGACCAGCTGGGTCATGGCTGCCCTCCATCCGCAGGGCGTCCCCCCTCCCCTGACGGTCAGTCTCTGTTTCCCCAGGGCCGCTTGCCGGTTCGCTGGATGGCCATTGAGTCCCTGAACTACAGCGTGTACACCACCAAGAGTGATGTGTAAGTCCCACAGTCAGGGACAATGGGGCTTGGGCATGGCCGTGACCACCTCCATCCCTTTCCAGGGTGGTCAGTTTTGCTCTGGGTGCTGCAAGGGCAGGAGATGATGCTGGTGCATCTCCCTGGGGAGCTGCTGGCTTGGCCCGAGCCCTGGCTGGCTGCTCCACCATGGGCTTTGCCCTGTGCCCGTCAGCAGGGCACAACTGGAGGCTCTGTCACAGCCTTGGTTCTTGCCCTTTTAGGTGGTCATTTGGTGTCCTGCTCTGGGAGATCGTCAGCTTGGGTAAGGCTCTTCTTTGTCCCCTGCCTCCACTCAGGTCCCTACAGGTCTAGTCCTCCTGTAGCTCCGGAGGGGACACCCAAGGACGGTCCCCGCCGCAGCCAGCTGTGTGTTTCTGGCCGCAGGGGGCACACCATACTGCGGGATGACATGTGCCGAGCTCTACGAGAAGCTGCCCCAGGGCTACCGCATGGAGAAGCCGCGCAACTGTGATGACGAGGTGTAAGTGGGCAGAGAGGCCCAGCTGATGGTGTCCTCCTGACCCCACTGCCCCACAGAGCTCCTGTGAACTTGTGGTAGCTCCTGCCTGGTTCCCCTCTGCACTGTGGCTGGGGGATGAGCTGGGGTCCCACCCCAAACGCCCTCCCTGGGCTTCAGTTTTCCATCTGCTTCCCCCCGTCGCCCACAAACAGCTTTTCTGCTGCCTTTTCCCCCCGTGCACACTGAGCCACTGCTGGCTTTCTGCCCCCAGGTACGAGCTGATGAGGCAGTGCTGGCGTGACCGCCCCTACGAGCGCCCACCCTTCTCCCAGATCTCCATGCAGCTCATCCGCATGCTGGAGGCCAGGAAGGTGAGTGGCAGCAGTGTCAGAGCTGGGCGCAGGGCGCCCGCATCACCCCAGCTCAGCGGGAGGGATGCCCACCCTGCGCGGGGCTTGTCCAAGTGCTGGAGCATCCCTTGGGCTTGTGGGGGGGGGGGGGACCACGCGCGAAACACAAAAAATGTGTGGAGCGCCGTGGTGTGTGTGGGGGGGGGGGGGAATCCAGCAGCAGAACCTGTGTGACCCCACCACATGTGGGGGTAACCCTAGCACCACTTTTGGCTGTGGGGACCCCTGTTGCTCCCCCCAGGGCACAGTGCCCGTGAGCATGCCAGCAAGGACAGGAGGTAGATGGGGACGCTGTCAAAACTGGCTCCTGACTGAGGTTCCCCCACAGGCCTACGTGAACATGGCTCTGTTCGAGAACTTCACCTACGCAGGGATCGATGCCACCGCCGAGGAGGCGTGAAGCTGAGCTGGCCAAGCGCAGAGGGGCAACGCTGGCCCCAGCCTGCTGGGACAGTGCTCTGGGGATGAGGGGCTGCCCATCCCTCCCCCGGCGCTGAGCGCCCAAACGCCTGTGCCCCTTCCTGAGAGCACCTTCTCTGCAGCAGGACTGTGCCGTCCCCACTCTGGCTACCCACCCAGTGTGTGCTGGCCATGCTGGCACACCGCCAGCCACCAACATAGACCCACACTTCTGGGGGACATGCTGGGATGGCCCCCAAGGACAAATGCCAACGGGGTGTTTGCAGCAGAGCAGGCAGGAGAGCGGCTCTGCCAGGAGCTGGGGTGCTGCTGCCTGTGGCCACGGACACAAAATGCCCAAGTTTTGGGGTGAGAGGGGAAGCAGCGACCCAGCAGCTGCCCGCCCCACAGCTCTCGGCGTGCTCTGGGCCTGAAGCGGTGCCAGCGGGGCTGCGACCATCGCTACCGACTACCGACGTGGGACAGGACCACCCTGGTGGCTGCAAAGGAACAAGGGACAGTATTTGCTGTGCACAGCCTCCAGCTCTGCTGTAACCCTTTGGAGGTGCCAGCTCTGCCTTATGGACAATAAACATAATGCAACAGGCAGCCGGGTCCAGAAGAGGGGAGGTGGGGTCCCAGAGCTGCCCCCCTCACAGCACCAGGTAACAGGATGTGGGACCTCGATGGTCTGCTGCCGTGACGGGCACTCCTCAGGATCCTGTCCCCATTGGTGTCCTCTGATGAGCCCGAGGGATGCCCCAGCACCCCCAGACAAGCCCCAGGTCTCATTATGCTGTAGGGATGGGTTTTCTTAGTATCCAATGGGGATGTCCCCCCCTGAAATTTTAGACTTTGTCCTATCCCCAAGGGATATGGAGACCAGACTACATCCTTCCTCTGCACAGCCATCTCTCCCATGCTTGAAAACTGTTCCTGCAGCTTCCCCTCAGCCTATCGCTCTTCACAGGCACAGCCCTGCTCCTCCAGCTGGTCCCTGTGAGGTTGTGCAGCTCCATACCCTTCCCGTCCCGGCCAGCCGGCGCCTGCCCGGCACTGTGCCAAGTCGCAGGGTAACTTCCCGCATCTTGCAAAGGGACCATTGGGTTCCACCAGCCTGCTTGAACGCGTGCTGCTGGGGCATTTCTTGCACGTGCTGCTCCCTCGAGGTTCGCTTGGGCTCTATGCTGACCCTCCCGCGGGAGCTCCTGCCCTCGTCCTGTGCTGCTGCAGTTTGTTGTATTGACAGCAGATGGGCTTCATCTCCATTGGCTTCAGCTTGCTAAGCCCTAGTCTTGCCATCCAGCTCCCCATCTAGTCATCTGCTGTGGTCCATGAGAAGCAAGGGCTGCTCCTGCAGAGCCCGTTATCCCACCCCAAGGCAGATGTGTTTGGCATTTGCCCTTCTGGACAAAAGTCTTTTTTCCCCAGGTGTTTCAACCTTCTAAATACCATTTTGATTTCCCACTCTGGCCTTCAGTGCTCTTTGGTGTCAACCGCAGCCCATAGTAAGCAGGCTCTGCCCCATCACTGAGGTCCCCAGCAAAACAGGGAAGGGGACCGGCCCCCACAGGCAGCCTGACCATGCCACCACCTCTGCACCTCCTCCGCTGCCAGCTGGGAACAGCGCTTGAGGCAGTGTCATCAGTCCTGCTCAAACCAAGAGCTTTCTGCTTTTTGACACCTGACAGCAAAGCCCAGTAGCCAGATGGAGAAGGAAGTGGGACTGGTTTGACAAAATTTGACTGTGACAAATTGGTGTTGGCTTTTCCTGTATCCCCTCAGTGCCCCCCTGCATAAGCCCCCCACCCCCGGTGCTGTCCTCCTCTGCTGCAGGATGAGGAGACACCAACCCGCCCTTGGCACGGTGGGGATGGGGGGTGTGAGTGGCTCCTCGCACCCTGGCTGGTGCTCCCCAGGCTGTGCCACGGTGCTGCACCCTGGTAGGGTGGGACACCCATCCTGCC